GGGGGAACAGAAGAGTGATTCATAGATGTAAAGGAGACAGGCACAAAATCAGAGAATAATGCAAGGTGAGTACTGGGGAAACAGTCGAATATGACTTACAGTTGGGTTGGAGTAGATAGAAGTCAACTGCTGGTTTATTGACTATTTTGCCGTATGAGTATACGTTTCCCAGGATGCATCTCGTAGAGGTAAGTCTATGGCGCACCCCTCCATTGACAGTCGTAAACTCTGCCTCATGACGATTCATCTTTCTCTGCAAAATGGCCATTCCCTCTTATCATTTTTAATTTTTATGTGCCTTCGTCCCTATTCCCATTTTTTTTATTTTGTAGGTTCCACGTCCTTTTATTTTTATTCTCTAAATCTTAGAATTAAATATAGAAATTTGGATTTACTTTTTAAGTCTTTCAATAGATAATACTATTGGGGGTAATCTTACCTAGAATTAGTCATATAGTTTCCTCTCAAACAGGATCCCTTCGGAAAAGTTTTCGTCCACCCTCCACATGAAAAAAGAGCATCTCATAGATTCACATGCTCTGATTACTGTATTCTCATTCATGCTTCAGCACATGTTTCTGCAGTTCTTTAAATATGACTCGATGAGCGCTCAGTTAAAGCATTAGGAGGTATATAACTCCCTCTCAAATATTTAATATACTGATGCCTCCCATTCTAACCTTCCATGGTACTTTTCTTCCCATTTGGTCTTATTTATACCCCTAAACTACTTGGGGTTGGCACTCTCCGACAAATGTGTGAAGCGAATCGAATTTCGATCTCACTTGAACTGCCTATCGACCATTGGTTTCCCACTTTCACGCTTACTTATGTGCATTATCACCTGTGGCGAAGGTGTTACCTAACCAGGCAGCCAATCATTTGTCGTCTATTTCAAGTTCATATGAGTATATTATTTTTTTAGCAAAAAAACGTCGTTTGTGCAATATTTCATCTTATTCCCACTTCTCTTAGCTTTTAAGAAGTCCCATCGATAAATTGTAGAAGAAGCCTTTACCGTGCCATCTGATTACAAAGTATTTGAAGTGTTGCCTTAGGTGACTTTAGAAATTGCCTATTGCTTCGATGATGCACAGAGGCTTCTCAAAAATATCGACTCAAACGGTATTTTGAGGGTTCTGGTTGCAAATACATTTCGCCACAGTAAGATGGCAATTGCCTCCGTTTATAATCAGTAAATGCCTTTATAAGCAGTAAGGCTTATCAAATGATTAATTTAATCGTGACCTTTTCAGGGCTATTAAGTTATTGTAACGGTGCTGTCTGTACTTGATGCACCAACCTATTTCATATTTTCAAATGAGTCTTACAGGCAATATACAAGCAGCAAACATGCATTTCAGATCAATGGCAAAATTTCGTTCACTGAAATATTTGTTCAAAGTCGATATCTTAGTTTGTTGCCTGTCAGTACTAATCTCGAATATGAAGTCATCTTGGAGTCCCTGCATGTTAGAAAATCAGACTTGAGTCAATTGACTATTGAGATACACATACACATAATCAATGCTTATTATTACAGCATCTCACGGTCGCCTCTCTATGCACATTTTACGGAGACAATTGGCGGATTGGTCGTGATCCGAGGTCTACATAAGCAGGAATATTTTCGGAAAATCGTTTGCTCCAAACTGAACGATCGAACACGTTGTGAGTTAGCTGGTCTTGCCATCGCCGGTTGGCTCAACCTTCGCCTTCAATTGATCGCCCTTCTTGTTGTTACGGGCGTTTTCTTCACTGGTGTAATTGGACGCGCTCTCAACATAATTGATGTGAATTTTGACTGCTCAAATTTACTTCATTTCAATGATAGTCATCTTTGCTAACTGGTTGCTTGTTATTGTAGGTAAATCTCGTTGGTCTTGCTTTGATATATGCTCTAATGCTTTCGTCTCTAATGACCTCTCTGGTGAGTGTAGTAAGTTCCACAGAAGTGGACTTTATTGCCGTAGAACGCTGTCGTGAATTGACCGAAGAGACACCCTTTGAAGCTGATGTTGTTGCCTGTTCTGTTGTAGTAAGTTGAAGTTTTATTTTGCCTACCTATCACCTATGACATTGCGTGTATATGTATTGGCCGGAATCGTACGTAACTTAACCCTCATGGTACACATTGTAAACAAACTCTTATTACCGCGTTTTTCTTGGTCAAATAGTTTACATTATCGGTGCTTCTTGAATATTTAATTCCACGTGATTTCATTCAATTGAAGACGTTTGGCACGTATCAAATATTATACAATGTGATTAAGCTAGATTCATTTATTTATTTATATCAAATGGCAGGCGTCTTGTTGGTT